CGAGAGAGAGAGAGAGAGAGAGAGAGAGAGAGAGAGAGAGAGAGAGAGAGAGATGAGAGAGAGAGGGTGACACGAGAGAGAGAGAGAGAGAGAGAGAGAGAGAGAGAGAGAGAGAGAGAGAGTCAAATCTACCTCGATGGCGGCACCCCACTTCCCCCCAACATTCCCCCTCCTTCTTCTGATTGTTTTCTCTCTCCTTCAATTTTTGCTAGTGAAGCCGCAACAGGTACCCTTGTTAGATGCGAAGTGCACAATGGGTGAGTAGTACGCTAGAGGTAGGGCGAGTGATCGCATTGACTGGTCGGTAGAAGAAGGGAGAGGCGCGGTATTGTTGTTGTTGTTGTTGTCATTTATTGGTGGAGGTAACAAGGAGGATTGATTTCTTCATCAAGAGATTTCAATATTGTCAGTACTTTTCGCACTGTCCGTCGTTTGCGCAGTCAATGGGAGCTCAATGTGCTTGACAGTACCACATTCACTGTATCCATCAATTTTTGTGCAAGGAACAGAACAGGTGATGGCTCATGGATTTGTTGTGTAATCAGGCGCTCTAAACTCCGGAGTCCAGATTCCATCAGGTCTCAGAAGAGTGCAATGTGTCCAAGTTCTGTTCCATCTTTTGACACAAGTCCGTCTACGGAGAGCTCACTTCTTTCTGGTGGGCTGTTTTTTTCTGCAGAAGGAAAAGAACGAGCGGCGTTGCAGCGGAGGCTCCGGGCAAAGAAGAGAGGAAGTGGTGTTGTTGACAAAGTCATGGAAAAGGTATGCTTTCCAATTTCAGAACTAGAAACACAACATTCACCATTCTTGTGCTTTCGTTGTAGAGTGGGAGAAGAGAACGTTGCGATGGCAATTACCTTGGGCTGTTTCTTTTCTTCTGTGGTCAGTCAACCAGTTCTCAATTTTTTGTATGTCATCCTTGAGAAGGGGCGATAGCCGCGATAGTAATGTACTCTGTATCGTTCCTTTTAGCCTCTCCTTCCACAACCTCCCTCCCTGGCCTGCACCCACAGGCAGAGCCGCTGTGGCTCCCACTTGAGAGAGAGACAGGCAGATAGACACAGAGAGGTTCCTCCCCTCCACTCCATCCCACATGTGATTCCTCCCTCTCTTCTTTCCTGCACTCCCTACTCGCTCTCTTGACCTCCCAGGGCACCATTCCAGTCATCCTCCTCTGATTCCCCTCCTCGCCTTCGCTCCATTTCGGACCCGATCACTCTCCCAATCCCTTTGTCTCCTCCGCTGTTCCCACCCCTCCTACCTCATACCTCCTCATGCGCTGTGTCATTAACCTGAGAGAGAGACATTCTGCTCCCCAACTTCCATGTGACCCCCCCATCCCCTGTCATATCCCCTGATCCATCTGATCCCCCTTCGCGAACCTCATCACATCCTCTACCTCCTCCCCCTAGCCCCCTATGGCTCAACCCTGTCTCTTATACACATCTAGATGTGTATAAGAGACAGGCCTACAACTACTGGGCCTCTAAAAATGCCCACT